ATGTGGGATCCGAACCGGGGCCCTCTGGCATCCCAAGCGAGTTCTTAACCATCGCGCCACTCGGCCGGCCCCATCAAGGCCTTTTAGGACCTGAAGGGCCCTGGAGGGCCCTACTCTGCTGTGTGTCTTACTCCTATCCCCGCCAGAATTGGTGCATGAGCACAGTCTCAGGCTCACAAGGGGTGATGTCCAACTCCACCTGGCTCAAGGTGCAGCCTATTTGGCCAGTCCCCTCATCCCCCACTCACTAGCCCCCTTGTCCCACTCAGCCAAGTGCAAAGTGAGTTCAAGAAGGTGTGTGAGCCCCTCCCCGCATGCAGGCCCCTGGCACTGGGCACAGGCAGGAGCTTTCCCCACCCAGTAGTCTCCCTGGGTAATGGGGGTGGGGTGAGTTGGCCTGAAGGGTGGGAGCCACCACTCCACCCTGACAGCTCTCAGCCAGCGGCACAGGGAGAGGGGTTGGAGGGCTGGCCCCACAGGAGCCTCCAGGAGGCATTTTGGCAGCCTGATGCCGCTAAGCCGGAGAGCCTCTCACCAGAGGAGGAAGGGGAGAGAGGCAGACCCTCTGCGTGTGTGGTCTCAGCACAGAAGGCTGATGGGAGCAAGTCCCCAGCCCTAGACGGCTACTCCCTCCGCCCCCAGGGCTGGGGCTCACATCCCACCTTGTCTAGACTGCAGCCTCCTGAGCAGGGGCAGGGAAGGGTCCCCGTCTTACAGGTGAGGCTCAACTTGTCCCGAAGTGGAGAGGCCAGGCCTCAAACCCAGACCCACTGGCTCCAGCACATGAGCCCTCTATGCTCTGCCCAGCCACGGTGGACACACCTGGCCACAGCCCTGGGCAGGGCGGTCGCCAGGCTCAGCACTTGTCACCACAGGATGGAAGGTGACGCTGGCTCCAGAGCATCCCATGACCACATATTCATGGAAACCACACAGAGGACCCTGTGAGCCAGACCAGCAACTTGGACATCACAGGTGCCATGGCGTGGGAAAATTCACTCAGTGAATGTTCCTGGGTGCCCGGGGTCCCCCAGAGTGGGCTCATGGCTTTGCAAAGAGTAGATAGAGCACAGGAAATGATATGTCCTGCTTTGTCAGTGTGATATGGTGATTTACAGTGAGAAATACACGGTTGGTCTTTGTCCTCTTCCTGTGACACAGAGCTCCTAAAACCCTTGGAATTTCCTAAGGGATGAGAGCCTTAAACGTGTCTTTTGTTATGTTAGTGAGGTGGTGTGTGGGACCCCCACCTAAGTCTGGTTGACAGCCCAACCATGTGATTAAAGGGTTGGAACTCCCAGTCCTACCCCAAACCCCAGGGACAGGACAGGGGCTGGAGGTTGAATGAACAGCCAATGGCCAGTGATTTCATCCATCATGACTGCTTAATGAAGCCTCCATAAAAACCAAAAACACAGATCTGGGCTGGTGAACACGTGGAGGTGCGGGGCGGGTGGCCTGCTCTGAGCGTGGGAGCTCCACACCCCTTCCCACATACCTCACCCTACACATTCTTCCGTCTGGCTGTTCCTGAGTTATATCCTTTTATATAAACTGCTGATCTAGCAAGTAAAATGTTTCTGAGTTCTGTGAGCCGCTCTAGCAAATTAATCGAACTCTAGGAGGAGGTCATGGAACCGCTGACCTGCAGCCAGTAGGTCAGAAGCACAGGTGACAGCCTGGGGGTGGGGGACAGTCGTGTGGACTGAACCCTCAACCTGTGGGGTCTGATGCTGCCTCCCGTAGATGGTGTCAGAATTGAGTTGAATTCTCAGACACCCGCTGCTGTCCAAGAATTGTTTGCTGATGTGAGGAAACGCCATCTCCAAGTTGGAATTGGGTCCAGGAGCCCAAAAGAGTCAGGCTTGTTCTCCTGGAAGCGAGGTGCGGTTCCAAGCTGAGGGTGCCGTCCCCGAGTCCTTAGGGACCCCCGGCCCACAGCCCCCATCCCCTTTCCAGGCTGCCACAGGTGCCTGAGCACCAGCGTCTGGGTAAAGCCCCCGCCCCCCACGTGCAGCAGGAGGAGTGACAGAGATTTTAAGTGTGAGAAGGATTCGCCCGCTTTGCTGGCTTGATGATGGCAGGGACCAAGTGGAAACCGTGAGGAGGAGGGTGGGTGTCCTGGAACAAGCAATGACACCTATGACACAATGACAATAATATCCTGGCTGCCCAACAGCAATGACAATAAGGACTTTGTCAAGGCCATTCTGCAGGGATCCCAGAGAGAGGACACACGTCCTTTTACCCGTCCTACACAGCCAGTGGGCCCTGCCCTGTGCGTCTCTCTAGGAGCAGCCATGCCCTTTAGCTCAGCTGACTCCATCTGGGACCTGACCTCCAGACCCCCTCATGCCCCTAGGGCCTCACCCAGCCATGGTTCCCGGGAACACAGTCACAGGCTGTGAAGTTGAGCAAGGCTGGCACACAGGCTTGCTCACCTCTGTTGTGCAGAGATGGAAACTGAGGCCAAGAGAGGCGGGGTCCTGGCTGGGTCACAGGGCACAAGGGCCACAGAATCAAGGCTGCCCCAGCCCAGAGAACTGGGATTTCCTGGGGTCCGCGGGCTGGGACAGACTGTTTCAGAGCCCACTGACTGCCTCTTGCCCAGCATGACTGGATCAGCAAACATGAGTCGCCCCATTCCCGGAGGGCAGAGGGGTGCCCACTGTCCCACCCAAGCATTGTCCAGAGCCTATTCCACCGGGAGAAGCACCGAACTGGAGGGGGTCTCTGCCCCAAAGCTCCCTCAGCCTCAGGCTGCCTCAGAGAGCTCCAAGCAGCACTCTAGCCCCTTCTGCTCAAGGCCGGTGGCCCTGAGCGCTGCCCCCAAGACCAAGTGGCCCTAGGCTGTGCCCAGGGCACGAGACCTTCTTCAGTTCCCACACATCCTGGCTTGTTCCTGTCAACGAAGGAGGTCTCCTTCTGGCTCTGGCTGGGAACTAAACATGTTGCTCTAAACACACTAACGTCAGAACCAAATTACTGAACCCCACAGAGTGAAAAATAAAAGACTAAATTGGCTTGGGAGGTAAAGGAAGTTGTGCATCGAAATCTAAGTGAAGTTTATATTGAGTTTCAAAGCATTTGGCACATTCCTGTAAGAATCAAAGCATGTGGCCCATTCCCGTAGGAATTCTGCGGGGAGTCCTGTGTGCCTCTCGGGGAGTCCTGGCACAGCGTGCAGGTGTATACATGGCAGGCCGTTCTCGCCATGGGTGGCTCAGAAAGGCGCTAAAGGGGCGTGGCCAGGCAAACATTCTCACGTTCAAAAGGAAAATCGGTTATTCCAGGCCGGCTCGTCCAAGCGGGCGGAATGTTGGCGGAGCGCCTCCTGGTGGTGAGATGGTGACAGACACCTCTGAGAACCGCGAGGGGCTCCTCGCTGCAGCTTTAGCCAGGCTGTGGGTCGGCGGAGGTGGGAGGGAGTTTCTTGAGCCTGCGTGTCTCAGTGAAGCTATGGGCAGGGCTGGAGGGGCAGCCTTCTGTACAGGTGAGCCGGCCCGGCCCTGGGCACTGTTAGGGGCCCCCTGCACGCTCCCACGCTGAGATCCGGGCCTCTCTTGGGGCTTCCCAAGAGAAGCTGCGGGTACATCTGCTTTCCGTGAGGGGTAGGTGACTTCTCCAGTTACCTCGTTCACCCAGAAAAACGTATCTAGAGGCTTCTTCCCCTGTCCAAAATGACTCCTAGACATGGCTACAAGGGAGAATATTGAGACAATAGAGGTGCACTTTCAGTCGTCCACAGTGAGGCGGAGGGCTCCCCCTACACGATGGGGAGCAGGGAGCCAGCCCCGCCCAGGTTTCTATAAACCACCTGTGCTAGAACGGTAAGGGAGCGTATCCCAGATGCTCCAGAAATCTTCCCAGGACCAGCACAGGCCTCCCTGGAGACCTCCAGATGAATTCTAGGATCTTAACTGTCTTCTTAAATTTTTTCATCTTAACCAATAGTTTATATCCAGACATAGTTCAGGTGTGTGTGTGTGTGTGTGTGTGTGTGTGTGTGTGTGTGTGTGTGCTAACAATTTCATGGAATTGAATGAAATGATATGTGCAACAGTCTCGAGAGTTTTCTATGCAATTCAATTTAATTCTACTATCGTCCTCAAGAAAACGCTGATTGCTACTCTTTAAACTCATTTGATAAGGGAAGCCACAATGATTAATGAACTGTCACTTGAAAACCCCTGTCTTAGATTGAGGGAAATGGAGAATGTTGGCTCCTTTACCAAAAAATAAATAAATAAATCACTCTTGCAAATTTTACAAAAGCATGACCATGCGTAGTCAGCCGCATGGCCCCCCAAAGATGGCCATGCCCTAATCCTGAGAACCTGTGGATATGTTTCATTACATGGCAAAGGGGGCTTTGCAGAGGTAATTAAAATCACAGATCTTAAACTAGGGACAACCTCCTGTATTATCTGGGTGCCCCAATGTAATCACTTGAGCCCTGGAAAGCAAAGCGCTTTCTCTGGCTGGAGTCAGAAAGATGCAGCAGTCGTGAGAGAGAATCTTAAGTGTGAGAAGGACCCGCCGTCATTGCCAACTCGGTGCTGGCAAGGGCCAAGTGAAAACCGTGAGGAGAGAATGAATTCCATCAACAGAATTAATGAACCTGGAAATGGATTTTCCCCAGAGCCTCCAGATAAGGGCCCAGGGTGGACAAAACTTGAATGTTTGTCTGGTGAGATCCTAAGCAGAGTACCAAGCCACACTTGCCAGCCCAAGGGCATACACAGCTCTGTAAGATAATAGCTCCTATTCCGAACAGCTCAATTTGTGTTCCTGTGTTCCTGCAGCAACGGGAAACTGAGCACTTTTCCAGGACCAGTGCAAGAAAGGGCTGCAAAGCTGAGCGGTTCCCTTGAGCTTGTGGTGAGCCCGCCTTTGGTGTGGGCGAGTCAGCCAGCCTGGGGGACGCGTCCTACTTTTTTTCTGTCAAGCTTGATAACTGCTTCACCTTCTTTAGAACAGACAGTGACTGTCACCCCTGAGAAACAGCAAGGTACACTACCTGGCACGTCAACCAGGTTAACCAGCGCTTGAGGTCCTGACGCCGGCATCCCACCCAAAGCTCCGCTTTGCCCTCAGGCAGGGAGGGTTTCCCCACCATCCGCTGGTTGTCCATAAGGCCCGGGGGAAGTCAGCATATCTGCAGGGAGGCCCAGAATCGGGGTGGCTCATAGCAACGGCATAGTGGGTCGGCCAGGTGGCCAGAGCTAGGGCACTGGAAAGACATGAAGCTCACCTGTCAAAACTTTCTGCTGTGAAAGAGTCATTGGAGGGCGCTTCAGAGAGAAGGGGCCTTAGAAGACTGGGGGCTCTTAGCAACCTGCTCTTTATTGTGTAAAGCATTTCCCACCCTATCCCAGCCTAGATTCCACCTGGTGACCTCTGACCTCTCCAGCGCAGCCACACACACCTCTCCCACCCCTCCTGCAGTCCTCTCTGTCATAGTGCCCAGGAGCCCCAGTGAGAGGTGTCCCTGCCATGCACCCTTCCCCTTCTCCTGACTTCTGCCACTCTCACTGCTTGGCTCCACAGGCAGCATCTGTTTTTTCTAGAACGTGAGCTTATAGACCCGGGGAATGCTCTCCTCTGGCAGGGTTCGTTCATTTTCAGCACAGTGGATGCCAGGGTCCTTGGGTAAGAAATTTCTCCCAGATCCACCCCCTTCTCAGCTGGGGTTGGTTTACCCTCGGCCTCATGTCCTCTTCACAGCCTCATCTCCCTGAGAATTCGACCTGTTCCCCAGTTGGCCATCTGCTGAGATCCTGCCTGCCCCAGCCCAGGCTCACACGGAATCCGCACCAGCCGCCTCTGACCTGGGGTCACCTCACTGTATGGACCCTGCAGCTGCCAGGTGTCACGGGAGGTTTTGGCCCCTGGTGCTGACAGGAGATGAAACAGCCGTCCTCTTGGACAGGCCCCAGGTCACCCACCGAGGCTTTTGTCCTCTCCCCTGCCCGGTGCTGCCCACCTGATGTGAGGCAGTGCGTAAGCACTGAGATAAATGGTAAAGTGATAAATTCATCTAAGTGATAAATTAATCTCCAGGCTCCCAGCTGTTCACCAGCAGCCTGCTGCCAGCAACTTTCCCCCATTGGCACTCATGGCCTTGAATCTTCCCAGGTCTGCTGTGGGCCGGCCTGTCCCTAGCCTGAGGCCATTACTAAGGTGAGGGAAAAGCCCTCTGTCCCTCCCTCCGTGGCTCCGCTTGTCCTCTCCCGTTACTTGTCTAGGCCCAGGTGAGCCTCCCCACCTTCTCTCCCCAGCACCTCCATCTCTGTCCACACAAGGGCGGGTTTCCCCGGGAACATTGACTCATCCCATCGTCTCATCCCACCTGGTCTTGGAAACAGCTTGCTGTGCACGTTACCAGGCTTAAGGTTTCTGTTGTTCCCACCACTGCGTCCTCTCTTGAAAAATGTGCTCTGAGGGCTTTGTCTTTCTCCCATTTGAGAACTCTGACTGATGATGGCTGGCCTTTGACCGGCTCCTAGATGCAACGTTACATGAGCACCAGCCTGTGGACGCATGCCCACTTCTCTGGGCCTCTTCCACCTACAGTAAAATTCTGCCTCTTTCAGGCAAACGCCTGCTTCCTGTGTGTTTTCTCACTATAATGCTAATGCCTGTGCGTATCTTTCTAACCGGCTCAGTTTCACCAGTAGGAGAACACTAATACAGTCTCTCATGTAAAATGACTAAGTTTTTTATGCCCAAATTCATAGAGGTCCCTTTTTGTCACCAGATTATCCCGTTAACTCTCAGTGCTTTTGGCATACTCTTAAATAATCCTATTAGCAATTCCCTTGGATAGCTCTGACCTGATTTAATTTGTTCATATTTTTAAATGATATCACGGCAGTAAATTCACCCTTAAAATGTAGACCACTTATAAAACTTCAATTAAATTTTTTTTCTCCCAGAAATTAAAGTGCATATGACTAAAGTGATTGCCCTCACCGAGGCATGCCAACTGGGCAAAGTACATATTTATACTAGTAGTAAAGGTGCTTTTGTCCACAAGTTGCCTTGGTGGGCCCATTGTGACAGTAAAGAGTGAGCACTGTGATTGGCCAGGGACCTTGATGTCATAAAGGCCAGGTGCTGGTGCCAGAGAATAAAAGGAGAAGGTCCTGGGGTGGGTGGGGGACTGCCAGTCTTCTGCCACTTACTTCCCTGCACAGGCTTCTTTCCGGAAACCCACTCAACATGGCTGTGGAGCCCACGTAGCAGTCCAGGCCCAAAGACTTCTCTCCGCCCCTCGGTCGGACCCACATTTTCTACCCAGCATCAAACAGCTGAAAAGCCACTCTGATCTTGACACCCACTGTAACCTAGAAGGTAAGGGCTGTCAGTTTTCACAGGGAAAGAGCATCACTTCGTACCTTAAAGAAGACATCGAGCCCATAAACTTAGAGGAAATGGCCCTTGGCAAACGTGTGTGTCGGTTATTTAGAGACGGAATGGACACCGTGGAGATGTCCTGTGTGTTTCTTATAGGGGGTCTGCTCAAGCCTCAAAATTAACTTGGGACAGCTTACTCGACGACTCATGTTCCTGGGAAAGCTTCCGAAGTGTCTGAGAAAGCTGTACCCCATGGGTTAGTTCATTGAAGGCCACGGACCTCGGGGTTTCTTAGAACCCCTGCTGGGGGAGGGGTGGCTCCCTCTATCGCCCACTAGTGGAAAACTCACTGAGGTTTTCTCTCCTTTCCTGTAGATGTCTAGAAGTCAGCTGGGGTCAAGGAACAGGCCTCTAGCTACAGTGATGTGGGTGAATGAAGTCACTGCACAAATCACCTACCCCACGTGGGAAACAGATCCTCCTGCACCATCTTTTGCTTCCCTGCTGAGCCCGAAATGTGGACCCCAACCTGGATGCAGGGCTAGGGATGTGGCCCCTACCTGCCCCAGGGGCCCACCTCTTGTTCCTGCGCAGACGCGGAGTCCACTGGCGCCACCTGTTGCCACCTCCCTGAGAGAAATAGGCCCAAGGAGCCCTGACTGCTCTCCACCAGGCACCCGCGGGCTGCCTGTTGCTGCCAGGAGCCCTCCGTTGCTGCCAGACATGAGCACCCCACTCTCTCCAGTCCCAGGCCCACCCCACTTATGCAGGCTGTTGACACCACCCCCTCAGCCGCTGGCCTCTGCATTTCCCTCCCCACAAGGCACGCTCCTGGCCCGAGGGCTTTCCTACTTTTATGCGTTGTCCACAAAGGTGATATCCTTCAACCCCCAGAAAGCCGTCTTCCAGGCGGTTTGCATCACTCACAAGAGCTTGCACAGGCTCCTCAGAGTCAGAGGCTTTCAGCCTGACACAAGTCAGGACCTAGTTTGACTTTTAAAGTGTCTTCAAATCTAACATTGAAGGCTTTCTTGAATGTTTTATTGTATTATTTTCCATATATATATGCAATATATATATTCCATTTTAAAAATGAAAAAAATATGATTAAGAATAAGAACCCAATGGACAGATGAAACATCTAAGATAGGACACAGATGGTGGACGGGCTAAGTGAACTTGAACAAAACCTGAAGCACCATTTTCCTTAAGAAGTACAGAGATAAGGAGATAGGAAATTTGAAGAAGTGACAACATAGCACAGCGAGAAAGCTTGAGGACAGAAAAGGGAGGCTGGAGGACACGTCGAAGATAGAAAGCCGAGAATTCTCAAAAATTGATGAAAGACAGGAATTCTCAGAGCTAGGGATCCCAGGGAATCCCAACTAGGATAATTTAAAACATCCACATTTAGTACATTGTAGCAAAACCATCGCACTCTGAAGACAGATCTGGGAAGTCACTACAGGAAATAGATGGTAACTGACATCAAGAATGATGGAGTTTAGTGAAATTAGATCTGTAACCTGCTGAGACAAAAAGTCACCCCAGATTTGTATGCTTAGCTAATTATTCAGGAATTAGGGAAATATAAAGACTTTCAAGATAAAAAGATTCCCACAATCAGACCTAGACTAACAGAGTGTCTCAAGCAGTGTTTCTTAACCTCAGTACTCTTGATATTTGGGCCAGATAATTCTTCCTTGTGGGGGGCAGTGGTGTATTTTGTAGGCTATTTAACAGTACCTTTGTCCTCTACCCACTAGGTGTCACCCTCTTCCCAGTTGTAACAACCAAAATTGTCTCCCGACATTGGCAACTGTCCCCTCTGTGAGAACCATTGACCTGAAGGGTGCTGTTCAGGAAAAAAGAAAATGCCAGAGGCAGCTCTATGGGAGACAGGGTTAGGATTCTCCACGTCCATTCTCCACTTCTCCCTAATAATAGAAACAGTTCTTAGCTGGGCAGAAACTAGGAGGCTGGTGCTTCCAGTAAAACGTTTGGCCAGGTTGCAGTCTGCTTAAATGTGGAGGGCAGGCCCAATTTGACCAGATCTGTGGCATTAGAAGAATGGTAAAAAGAATCCAGAGTGGTGGTCATGTGGGCTCATTCTTGGCTGCTTTTAGTGAAGTCCTGTAAGGAAGGTGGTCTCTGGCTGGAGTTAACCAGGATTCAAGCAGAGCGAGAAGGACCCAGAGTGTAGCTCATGTAAGTTGCTGCTCCCCACTGTGGCCTGTCCTTGAAAGTCTGAAACACTCACCGCTTCTGTACACTCGACCCAAGGTCATTATGAGCTATGGCTATGAAGTGGCAGCCTTTGCAGCTTGCTAGCGAAGATGAGATTAAGTGTGTTGCTTTGCATAACAAATCTATCCTGTTGGCAAATGTGCAAAAACCTGGCAAAATCAAGCTTTGACAAGAACAACTACAACTTGACATTGTTTCGTAGCATCGGACATAGGCATTCCCAATGAGCCAGGACAAAAACTGGAAAGAGCGGTGTCCATCGGGTGTGGACTGGACATCATCTGTGGTGTGATCACACAGAATACCATAACGGGGGGAAAATAAAGCACAGGGACATGCGTAAAACTCACAAACGTAATTCTGAGCAAAAGATGCAAGACAAAATACTTTATGATTCCATCTATATATATAAAGTTAAAAAAGTAGGCGAAAGTAAACTTTATATAAAGATGTCTCCATCAGTAGTAAACACTGTATAAAGCAGTAATAACAATGTCTATGGATAAAAAACAAACAAAATATTAGACAATAAGATGGAGAGTGTCTATATTATACTGACCTGGAAGGGAATCCTATGATATATTACTAAGTGAAAAGAGGAAGTGGGAGGGATTCAAAAAGTTCTTTCTTGGGCCGGCCAAGTGGCGCGATGGTTAAGAACTCGCTTGGGATGCCAGAGGGCCCCGGTTCGGATCCCACATATGAGGGCCAGTGACACTGCCCTC